GAGGGGACTGGGGCTGCTTTTCCTTCAGGGGCAGTCTCAAGGAACGTAGGGGGCCGGTGACCTGCGAGGGGGTGTTTTCTGCTGTGAAGCAGCGTTCTTAGACTGGCGGTAACATCGTGCCTTTTTCTTCCTTTCATTTCAGTCTGGTAGTCTGAGCGATCTGCTGGAGGCGGGAGCCGCCGTGAACGCACCTGCAGATGCCTTTGGTCAGTCTCCAGCTCACCTGGCTGCCTGCGGCGGGGGAGCCTTCTTCCTACTTTGGCAACTGCAGACGGGAGCAAATTTGAACCAACAGGTAAAATACACAAGTTTTGTTTCTCACACTTCTAATTTGGCATGTCAGTAAATCCAGTTTATATTAGTTCATTATTTTCTATCTTTTATATACACACTTCTATTTCATGAGATACCTGTGATTGCTTATTTTAGAGTAACTTTATTTTTAAATGGACCAGAAATCCTGTCCATATTGCATTAGTGATTTCATTTGCTACGTAGAATGAGGTCTTCATTTAAAATCCTTAATGTGGACATCAAAAGAACCTACTTTCACACAAATGAGCATTCCTTTTTCCTCCAAAATCTAATCCCTTCTTCCACTAAATGTAAGGATTCTTCCTTTAGCTGCAGTTTTATTTGCCTATACCTCTGAGCTGGTAGCAGCAAGCTGTTGGTCACATCAATCCCTGAATGGTGCTGACAGATGCTGCTCATCAGTGTGCAGGGTATACTCTGTATTGATCATCTGTTAGGAGGTAAAGGTTAAACAATGAGCATTACATGGGACAGGATTTCTGCTTTGCTGTGATTAATACACTAAGCACTTAATGGCATTTACCAAGTACGCTTTACTAGCTATTGTCCTTTTATCTTTCTCAACTCATAACGGACACTCCAGAAACAGTCATGCTGGAGAACAAGATAGCCTCATCTTATTCCCCTTCCTTCAAATTGACTGCTACATGTAAATTGCGGTTTTAGGATTGCCTTGGAGAAGCCCCGATTCATAAAGCAGCAAGAGTTGGGAGTTTGGAATGTCTTGCTCTCCTTGTTGCTGGCGATGCCAAAATTGAGTAAGTTGGGCTACATTTAGTTATTTCAGAAAGTGTCAAAGGATTCGTGTATCTTACAAGTACTTTTTTACTTGTTCAGAGCGTTCATGCCAAGACTGTAAATAGTTTGACTGTCGTCATTAAAAGCAGTATGAAAAACTGCATGAACACCAAAGTAGCACAGACCATATGCTGCTGTTCAGTTCCACATTAAAAACCTCTACAGGAACTAAGAGAATATTCCTGATCATAAGTTCTTCTTGTAAGTTTTCCATTCTGACTAATGCTGCACTCACCCTCCTCTTGCCTTTCTGATATGCTGAGCCAGTCATTTGTCTAATGATGGATTTATTTTAAAGCAATTATTCTTTGTTGCATTTAATACCAGGCCTCCAAAGAGTTGAGCCCCATGCTACCCTTGGCAAGCCTTCTTGGTATCGATTCTCTGTACTTATTTTTATACCTCTGTCTAAAGTTACCACTTAATCAAATTGAAGAGTGCTTGCTCATTATGTGTATTGCATTTTAATGGAATGGTTACTGTTAACTCCGTGTTTCAGCCTGTGCAACAACAGTGGACAAACAGCAGCAGACCTCGCACTGGCTTACGGCTTTCTGGAATGTGCCAACTTCCTCAGGACAACTCAGCACACTCAGACAATGAAACTGAGAGGACAGTCTGGCTACTCACCAAGGGACAACCGTGGCTTGCTGAGAGAGGATCCAGCTGCACAGAAACAAGAAGGTGAAACCACCAGATCCATAAACAGGAAGAGGAGAAGATCAGGTGGTGTGTAATACTGTTGGTTTATTACAACTCAGAATATTTTTGAATACTCTTATCATTTAAATAAATAAATTTGGTGTTGGGTACATAGCAGTTGGATTTAGAAGCCTTCTAGTAAGGATCAGCTTGCATAGGTATTTAAAATTACCGTCTTACCAAAACCTGACAGTGCACGGGGAACGTCAAGGAAAAGGCTACTTTGTGGGGTGAATAGGGTGGAATCCCAGGTAATTCTACTGATGTACTGGTAAAGCAGCTACAGACTTACTCTTGTTTATTCATATGACAGATCTGGTCTCCTAGCTGACAAAAGAAATAATTTGTCATCCCAAAATGAAATCAAGGGGAATCTGAAGTCTGAAGAAGCATGACTGGACTATACATTGAGCAGCCAGATGTGTATGTATGTGCTGGTACATTGTCTCCTTCCGAGAAGGATGAAAACTCATTTGTTTTTACTTCTTACAGAAGACTGTCGTGTTGGTGGTGTTTTGTTGTTTGGTTGGGTTTTTTCCCCTAGAACAGTTGTTACTCATACAGCTATAAATAAATAGAGTATGTAACAATTAATTCCCTCACTTTTTTCCTGTGTAAATGTGAGAACAAAGTTCATAAAATTCATTACATAAAGCCATTTTTCTCCCACTCCTCAAATGCTGTTATCAACAGTACCAGCAGCAACTGATGCCCTGGACCATATTCATCATGCACAAGGCAGCTGGTGCTATGGAACTTGACAGGTAGAGGACAGTTTGTCTTTTTGGCAAGAAAGAATTCCATAACATAAAAGGATTAGGCATTTAATCTGTAAAGATCGTAGCATAACAAAAAACGCTGTATGAACATAAAGTTGTCCTAGTCAAAAGAATAGTATTAGTTACCTAATAAATGTATTTGTAAGAAATACAGTTCACAGCAGGTAACTCTTATTTTTAAAGGTTTCATTAAAAAATAAAATTCTTAATTTAAATTACTCAAGCAAAATTTCTATTTCAGCTGGGTTCTGATTGACTGAAAGCATGATTTTGAGTATTAACACAACAGTCATTATGTAGATCAGCCAGTATTCGGTTTTAGCATGTTCCAGCAGAAGAGTGCATTTTAAATAGTTTTGGGTCGTTGAGGTAGGCAGAGATTGTAATAGGCGTCCTTGTTCCAGAACTCAGGGCCCTTCCATCCACACCAGCCCTGTCCAAGAAAAAGCAATACAGTGTTTAAATCTACTATGATTTAAACCTTGCCTTCTACTAGCAGATCTGTTATTTTTTCCTAATTTTAATCTAAGCTATATTAATTCTTACCTAATAGAAAGCACTGACATGCAATTTCCAGAAAGTTCTCTACATGTCTGGAAATACATTAAGACAAAAGACTTCAGAGTCTTCCTCCCTCCCCACCACAGCTCAGTTCCTAAAAAATGGCACCTTCCCCCTCCCCTCTGCTGCTACAGAGAGACTAGTGTTATTCTGAAACTCTTTATCATTCCCACAGTTTCCATTCCTTTTGTCTTAATCCTTGCCGCCTTTGGTAATAGTTGATATTTCAGAGCCAAACAGAGCTCTTAGAAGGTGTTCTGTTGATTCTGATGTGTCAGAAAAGCAGTCCAACAAAGCTCTGAAGTTTACTGAGTAACACATAATTATATGAGCTGTTCTTGAAGAAAAGAGCTACAAACTTAAGAGTGCACCTTAGTTCCTCCCCTCCCCTGCCACTTTTGATGAGGAAAGGGGTTTCTGCAGGTATTTTTTTCCCCTGGACCATTCTGGAACACCGTGTAGCTGGTTCTACATGTTCTTTGGAGATTGTTTCTTCCTGTGTTCATCTGAAGCTTTGATCCTTATAGGAAAATACTTCTTTAACAGCTTTTTTAGTTGGGTCCAACCCAAGGGTATCAAATAAAGATAGGAAATAAAAGTTGCTATTTGCAACATAATATAAAGAATAGAAATTGCTTACTAAACACCTGTAGGATGATTTAGGCATGTTCACAGTTAATGTTTCTGACACTTTACTGTTATGTAATATGCTGTCATCCTTTTCAGTAGCTTGAAATACGGAAATAACATTGCATACCCTTTAGTTCTTCTGCTTTCCTGTATTTTTGAAACAGGCCAGTACCTGCCCTTTAGAATTAGTTCAAGGCCTGATGTGAGTGTGCCTTGTGCTGGCTTTTTTTTTTTTTTTAATTAAAAAAAATTAATAGTTATCTTCTGTGCTTCAGTAACAGCATTTTACAGGCTGAACAGATTTTTCTGTTCCATTCAAAATACCAAACACATTCATTGTATGTACTACTGGGTAAAAGGGGACATGGTTTAATCCAGAGAAAGCTTCCTGAAGACACTAAGTTTCAGAAACTAGCAGTAAGTAGCATATGTGCAGGTTAACTGGGAATCAGCACTTCCTCCATAAGGAATGGAGAAGCCATAGAACGTCCAATTTGTATTTGGCTGTGCATTACTTGCTTAATGCCGAAATGTGTGCGTATATATACGTGCATCAAGCCTCACCTTTTCCAAAATAACATGCAGATCTTCTCCTCCAGTGTAATGCGGGTCTAGAATCAAATATTTGATGTGCCCTGTAATCTCATTCCAAGCCACTCCTAATATTGTGTGAGCCAAAACACCTCCACCTGAAACAGGAGGAACACAAACTGGTAGAAGCTTTTCACTGACACTGGCTAAATGCGCAAGCCTAAGGTAAAAGTACATCACCACTTTCTATTAATTAACAGATTAGTTTGGTTATCAGAATGATTGTGAAGCTGTCCTATGTAAGATTCTTCACATTTTTAACCAACGTATCTTTACTACAACTAGGGAAGATACTAATTTTACTTTCTACAACTAGAGAATTTACTTTCCAAATTTCTTTCATCTCAGCAAGGCAGGTTAAATCCTCAACACTTCCACCAGATGAAGTCAAGAATATTGCAAACATCTGTTTTGCTCACTTTTTCTTTAAAGAAACTTAATTGTAGAAAAGGAATCTGGAAAACTTCCTGGTTGTAAAAGGACTAAAATTAGAATGGAAATCAGAATTTCTGAGTAAAGGTTATCTGCTGTTTTCTACTAAGGTCCATCAATGGATATTAGGGCACAGCAGTAATTTCTGACACTCCTTTCTTTAGCCTGCAAACAGGGGAAGGAGATGCGTTGATGAGCTGTTCACAGCTTGATTCCTGCATGTTTCTAGCATGCAGGATAGCATGAGGAGTTTACATCCCTGGGGATACTGCGGTAATGATTCCACACAACAGACAGGAATCGCAACAACCCCCAAAAGAACACGAGCGAGAAAGTCCTCCAAACCCACCCCAAAAAGCCAACCACCACCCCCTGCAATAACAACAACAATTCAACCAATCTACAAGAGAGCATCACAGGGAAGGACAAGTTACAGATGAAAAGATTTTTCAATATAGGATTCCAAATTTTTGAAATTCAGACAAAAAGGCAGCTGAAGGGCCAGGAATATTTCATACCAAACTTTGGACTTTTGGCAACTCTTAATTTAGGAGGCCACTATCTGACACCATCTTTATGGAGTGCCCAATACAGATTGTGAAAATTGTTAAAATTGTAACTTATTAAAGCTGAAAGTGCTATTTCAATATTCATTTGCTAAACCATGGCTGTCTTGTAAATAGTTCAGTTAAAGTTACAGCATTCTTAATGAATGGCATTTCTTATGTTGCAAAAATTTCAGATTATTAAAACTGGTCTTAAAAAGAATTTGGCTGATGCCCTTCTCTGCAAAGCCAAACAAACAGTACTCTTCTATGATGGAAATTCTAGGGAGCTTCTGCTCCTCTAGAGAGCTGAAGTAAATTCTCGAGTTCTGACTTTCACAGCAGTTTCTAAGAACACCTTTTAGACTGACTTGTGTTACTAGGTTTAACACTGAGCTTGGGAGAAATACTGAGTGGAAAGACACCAGCCAGAATAAATTGTACTGTCTTCCAGGCTTCCTTGGGAAAAGCATGATTTTTAATTAATTTAGGGGTTTGCTTAACTGTTGTACAGTAAACAGAATGAACTGTAATTGAAATGAAATTCAGCATAGGGAGGCCCCGCACTTTCATTGGCGTTCTTGGATACTCATACACTTACCAATCATAACTGGAGTTCCTTCAGTCTTGAAATGGTTAGCAAGCTCTCTTCCCTGCAATGCCAGTTCAGAACCCTGGCTGGGTAAGAACAACAATAGATCTGTTATCCTCACTAGGCTTAATATGCTCATTATCTGTCACACACCTTAACTACGTAAGTAACTAATGAGCAAGTGGCTTCAAGTTTTCCTGTGTAAACATCCTGGGACAATCTGAAAAAAAAAAAAGTCTTTTAATGCAACTTACAGATTCTGATTCAAGATCGTTTTCCACTCCAACTGCAAAGGCAATTACAGCACTCATACCCAAGCTGGCTTTGAAAAATCAGATCTCAAATAACATTACTAATCTGTTCAAAGCTACATTGACTTAGATTTGTTATAATCTCCCTGTTTCCTTTTCAACTACGGGGACCAGCCACAGACAGAAGACATCTACACTCAATACATGCACATACTCCAGGACTCAGAGCTGAAGACATACGCCTGACAGATACTCATATTCCCCTTAAAAGACTGACAGTACTCCCAAAAATGGTGACAGAAGCTAGGCAAGGAAATTAATACAGATATTTTTCATGTCTTGTCTATTTCTTCATATAGTTGTTCACCTTTTGAAAACCCCAGGAAAGCCCACATGCCTGTTTCTCAAATTCCTGAGGAGATTCATTAAATGTAGACAGAATACAAAACTGGAACTCTGGGAAATAACAGATTCCATACAAGTGCTGCTGGTGCAGCTGTAAAGTCTTACTTCCATGAAGAGTTAGATATGCTAGCTGGAAATAAGCCCAAAACAAAAATGCTATCCACTGCCAGTGACCAGCTGAAAAAGATGCATGACATTTCTTCTTCTCAGCATGGTAGTGATGCTGGCTTTTCATAATCCTGAAAAACATTGGTGTGCTCCCTTGTAGAAGCACTATGAGCAATTCTACCCAGTTCACAAAGGAATCTGTTCTATATTCTTATGTGCAGGAATAAAAACCTTCACCCTGGCTGGGCCTGTCACAGCTACTAGAAGTAGTAGGTGGATCAGCTGCAAATACAAGCTCTGGAACAAAAGAGCTTAAAAATTGGCTGTATAAAGCTTTACAAAAAATTGAAGAACTGTTTTGCTACCGTTAAGAATCACCATGGTCACATGCTCTTTTAGAATATCCACAGTAGAATGTACTCCAAATGAACATAACTCATGAGTAGTATTTTGTATGACTAGAGTTTTCATACCATCTAAGTTAGTATATATTCTTTATTTCATGACTGTATTTATCACAAAACGTTCAGGGATTTCTTAGTCTTAGTCCTGCCTAAATGATAAAAATCCAGTAGCTTCTGGTAACTGCTGAACATTATTCTTTTTGTCCCAAACATATTTGTAGGGTTGTTTATTGTATATGACAGTGTCAGATTGTCAGAATGGAAACAAATTCCTTGTTTTATCTGTCACACAAACCCAGAAAAGAGTGCACTATTTCCAGGCTGCTCAGCAATTTCTCAGTCCTGAACTGATGGGCAGGATCTATGAACAAAGTCATAATGCGCTGTCGGTGTGCACTCAGTTCGTTGTGACTGCCAGACTGTGTGCCTGCTTTAAAATTTGCTTGTGCTGCAAAAAAAAAGGCTGAACTCCGCATCAGTTTACATATCGTTAAGTAATTTATAGCAACTGCAAACTGGAACCCTAAGCCCCCAGGAAATACAGCAACACCTTCATCTGTAAGCTCTTAGCACAACCACAGTCAGGAATACAGGGCTGATGAACAAGGAACCCTTAAAAGATTTATTATCTTCTTTATTATCCCTGTTCTCCCTTATAATGTAATGGTAATTTGCATTTTAAGACACTCAGGGTTTCTAATAATTACTGAGGTATCAAACAGATAGTGATTCTTACCTGACAAATAGTATTTTTGATGTTATTCCAAAAAGCTGATTCAAAACAAGTTGTACCTCAATGGAACCAATCCATTGCCGTGACCCAACAAATGCTGCAGGCTTGTCTCCAGCATCAACCAGTGCCTTTGCAACATCATGATGAATAAGAAAAACAAATGTCAGCAACACACAGTAGGCAACTCTACCACTCTTTGTGGGAATGCATTTTGAACCTAGCTGGTCAAAAGCAGACAAATGGATCTTGAATTAAATTCACTGCTGTTCTGTTTCGGAAGCATCACTTGAACCTAAGAAGAGTGCCTGTAAGCACAGAATATAAGCGCAGGTCCACAGACAGACTTCAAGCTGGGAAGGTGAGCACTGAGCTGTCAAATAAAAGGAGTGCATCATTCATACTACAGAAGCCACTTCACACTGAAGTACCTTCACAGACTGGATTCCCATTCAAAGCACCTCAGAAAAGGATCCATAAAATAGTACTCTGATGAAAAGGCCACTGAAATACACTGAAGGCTGAGGTTTATTTTAAACTGTTCTCCATTCTGAGGCTTGTATGTTACACATAGCACTTGAGAAGGGCCTTTTCTGCTCAGGCTCCAAAGCCTCCTGGGGGGCTACTGCCTTCTTACAGATGTCTAAAAATACTACAGGAGCGCATGGACTTCAGTTGCTTTTAGGTGTGGATTAAGAAACTTTCAGGAAATGCAGTTTTAACTTCAGAGCTCACATCCCTGTTAGGTATGATGAGAGTTGTCTTACGGACTGAATCAAATTTTGCTAAAAACATTCAGTAAATGAATACAACACAAAGAACTACTTTTAGAAGACTGAAGATAACTGCAGTATTTCTTGTCAGGCATACAATATTAGCTACCCAAGCCTACAGCTTTTCTCCAGTGCTGTTAATAGAAATGAACATATTCAGGTATGCATGCAAATTCACAATAGAAGAAGAAGTGGAGATTTCAAAAGGACGAAGAAAACCCCACTGTTCTCAAAGGGAAAGTTGTAAAAGGCAGCGCTACGTCAATATATAGCACCTGGAGACTAACCCAGGTGTCACTGAATACAAAAGGCAGTTTTAAAACTGATTTTAGTATGACACATTGGGCTGTTTTCTTTCATTTGGTGAAAACAGTGAGCTCCTAATCTCAGCTTCTAACAGAACATTAGTCCAAGGAAATATTTAGAAGACTATTTTACTGAGCCTTATTTGTACAGATAATGTTACCCAACACTGATAAATATTTGGAGACAGATCTCCTATAATAAAACTTGTTTAAAATAGTAATTCACAACTACAGTACTTCAATTCAAGAAAGAAATTGAAACTACCACACAAATCCAAAAGCTAAAATACATGAATTTGATTTTAAAAATAATCTATACAAACTTTTCTAGATGAATATGCATAAAATAATTAAAGCACTTAAATGTTCTGTACCTGTTGAATCTCCTTGTGTGTTGGTATAGGTGCATCGATATAACCTTGGTGCTTGAACCAGGAACAGACTGTCTGCAAAGACCGATAGGCACAGCCCCAACCACTGTCATCAATCCTATCTTGCATATAGTGGTGGTAACTATAGATACCATGTACTAAATAGACCTGCACAGAAAGAGATAATACAAATGAATGTGATCACACTTGCATCAATTTTCAGAGAAGTTACATGACATGTTGCTTGCACTGTAAAAGTTGGGGATTGCAAATTTTTTGAAGAATCGAAGGGTTGTTACTCACACACAATTACTCCTCCTGTCTTTGCTTCCTAAACATTTCCAGTCAGTTTTTTTATTGTCTTGGCTCTGAGAGACTTTTAAAACATGCTAAAAACATGTAAATCCTTTTCCAAGAAAAGGCAGTTTTCTTTGAGACAAATACAGCTACGGCAATGCCATTTTGTGCAGAGAAGCCCTTTTGCTTAAGAGGCCAAGCCAGACAATATTGTATAGATGAGAAAGTGAAGCAGCTATCTAAATTACTTCTTATAACAAGTAACAAATCTCAAGTAAAATCAAAAGTACTTTCTTAAAAGTGTTTCAATTTAAACTTACCATACCAGACTCCATACCAGGTGAATTAAGATGTAAATGAGGATTTCTGAGATATCCATCTTTATATGGTTCATCTGGAAAATGATAAGCATTTGCTCTCTTGAAATAGGGTCTGTCACAAGGCAGGTTGAATAACCCATGCAGTTCCTACATGCAAGTTCAAATAAAAATACAGAACAGAATTAAAATTTTGGATTCAAAGAAACATCATATTGCGAGTAACAATAAAGACAAACAATTTTAACAGCATGGTTTAGCAAATTAATGTATTAAAATCTGCTTAATTAACTATTCAGCATGTATGTTTACTACCAGATCTGACCTCTCAAGGGAAGCTCAAGCAGGCTTACCTTCTAACTAGAGGGTCCACTATTTCATGCAGTCCTGTTACACAACACCTGCTGCTTGAGCCCCACTGAAGGTGTCATGAGTGACAAGTGTCTTATAAAAGCATGATAAAATACACTATCATAGAAAAGGATTACAGTTTCATCTATGTAGCAGAATAGATACACACGCTCTGAATTGTAACTTTAACTAACATTGAAGACGTACAAATGCCACATACTGAGACAAAGTAAAGATACTGAACTTACGTAAAGATACTGAGCTTACAGTTTAAGTAGATGCAGTCTATTTTTAAATCTCTTAAGCACCGTTTACAACACATCAGCCACATTTAAAGAGATACATTGTCTTATTTCACAGAGCTTAAAAGTGAAAGGAATGATGAGATCATCTAGGATAAAGTTTGTAACACAGGTAATATATTTTGTGCAGATGACCTAGTGCCAAACCCAACTACATTAGCTACAGCAACACTCAGCAATTCTCAGATAAGAATGATAAGACAGTAGGAAAGACTCAATGTGCCACCAATGCCTGAGGCCACTGCAAATAAAAGGCACAGATTAGGTTTTATACACCCAGGAAGAAGAAAATGAAAAATCCCCATGGCTTCCATGCCTCTGAAACAGCACAAGATTCCTTCCACATTCTTGGTATGTGTAACTGTGTGAGGTGAAGTGGTACCTGCCAGGTATACATCTCAATCTGAGAGGACTGCCACATCAGAGAAATTTTCCACCTCCTCCATATTCCTTTTTCTAGGTGTGCCAACCCAGAAGGCATAAAACAAATAAACAAAAGCTAACTAAGCCTGATTGTCTGTGATCCTCAAAAAGCAGCCTCCTCTGAAAACAACAAACAAAAAACCTCCAACCATAATCCTTTCAGGACATGCATTAAAGCCTGAAAGTAGTAACACTCTAGAAGTAATCTGATATTCTCCCATGGAAGTGAAGAAATGCAAAGAACACAGTACCAGAAGTATAATTTAGAGAAAACCTATCTTACATAGTCTTAAAGTTTCTATTGTTCCCTTACAAAAATGAGATCTGGCACATTTTATAAAGTAACATAACAAAACAAGCTTCCACATTCAGTATACTGCTTCAGTTACAATAAATCAAAAGAATAGCAGTATCTGTTAGTATTTATTCTACAGTGGCTTTACCAATGCATCAGCTACAATAATAACAACAACAATAATAATAATAATAATAACAACAACAACAACAACAACAACAGCGGCAGCAATATTATCAGGTTCTGTTAATATTGGTTGGCTTTACCTTTCTGTAACTTTCCAGTTGATCATCTGAAATACCTGTAGGATATGAGATTGTTACAAGGTGGTTGTTCCCTGGTAACATGAAATGAAATTGTTCTGGTACCACAATTGATGTTCCCTTCACATATTTCATGATACAACTTTCCATGTCAGTTAGTTGCCTGTGAATTGCTTTCACCAAGAGATTCTGTACACTGCAAGATATAAGGGAGAATATCTAAAAAGTAGAACAGCAATGGAAGATCATTTTCTCTCATTGCTCTCATTGTTATACAATACTTAAATGCATATTTGCACCTGGTCTGATGAACTTATTACTTCCATACTTTCACTCCCACAGACAGAGACAAAACCTCACGGTGCTTTCGTCAAAGCTTGTCTGCACCCAGAAACTACTCCCTAGTGATTCAACTCTCCAAAGTGCAGGTACCCTGGTCTTGTATCAGAAAAACAACCATTATGAACCCTTGTCAAAATCAGTTACATGGATGACTAAGGGGGGGGGGGGGTTGGGTGTTTGGTTTTTTTTCTTTGCATTCTGTCCACCCCAGTTAGCATCCTTTAGAATCAAATCCTATGGGAAAAAATGCAAAGAAAACATACAGAGGAAGACTGTTAAGGTGTTCCACCTTCACCTACCCAGCTGCAACCCCTAACATAGTACTAAGATTTAACTAGCTAAATTCCATTTCAAAAATACCACATGCTACTTTATTAAACTGGTGATACAGTTTTACTTCATTATTTCAAGAAAAAGCAGAAATTAATCTGAAAAAGTACAACTTCAGGATAACACTTACTTTCCCCATGTTTCCTCTGGAGAAACAGATATAACAACATCAACTGGTAATGTCATATTTATGTAGTGGTGTTCCTTATTTTCCCGTTCAATGACTGGAGCCAAAGCAGGTAGTGAAGACGTCATTTCCAACATGAGGTCTATATTGACTATCTGCTGCTGCAGAGAATAAAGACACAATATTAAGTACGCCTCCAACAACACATGCACCAAGAAGACAAGAGTAAGATTGTAAATATTTGGTATCAAACTCCGTAATGAAATACTTGGGTTTAAAAAAAAAAAAAAGCTAGTAATGTTAAATACAAATTTCTACATGCTCATCTACTGTACATGGATCTCTGCATTCACACTGAGTCTCAATGACTTTAGAAGTACTCTTTCAAGTCATGTCAATGTCTGTTTTGTACACAAATGCCTAGGGAGGGCAGATCGGAAAATAATTAAATGACAGGTTGTCTAAAGTTCTGATTAAGGTTGTTATGATAGGCTGTTTAAATTTATTAGTGTGGTAAGACACATACCGTATCTTGTAACTTTTTATCCTTTTTTTTGCCAAGCTTTCGTTTGGTCTCATCGTCTTGATCAAATCTAAAGCATCAACAGAAAGAGAGATTTCTAAAATATGAAATAAATCTATTAAAAATAAATAAATAAAATATACTCACTGCATATATCGTCTTATCTCCTTACAAGCAGACTCATCAGTCAGCTCTGGAACAGTGTTCATGCCACTGTTAGGCCACACATAGATTGAACTGTGGCAAATTCTTAATACAAGAACATCCGAGGACAGTTTGTTTGCAAGATCACTGAAAACATATCCTAATGCCTTCTTTGTTGATGCCTCTGAAACACAGTAAGGATACAATTAGCCTAGAAAATGTCCTCACTTTTGTTATAGCTGCTGGGCATACATCTCAAAAAAATCGGTATGTTCTGACTTGGAATAAAAACATAAGTCCTGTTATAATTAGAAAAATGGGTAGGGAAGCAAACACTGAGATCAGATTTCACTCAGCAGGTCTGTCTCAAACATTCACACTCATATCTGCCTCAACAAGTGTACTGTTTCTCTCAGATGCTGTCGGATATGAAGAGCTGAATGAACTACAGAAGAATAACATACACTTTTGTTGATTCTCACATCTGCAACTCAACCAAGCCTACAGTTGCAAACAAACTTCTATGTACAAACATCTACATATGGTTATAATTCTATGATAATTAATCTTTTGAGTAAATCGTGGAAAGATTCAATCTGAGTCACACTTCGTATTATTATTCAGAAGTACAAACAAACCCCCTACTAAATCTTTTGAAAGGCAGGGCATACACTCCTGCTGCAGACCAAGTTTTGGCCAATATAAATCTGTATGTGTAAGCCACACAGCTTGCCTTTCAGAGCTTGACAGTGTTAGGAAAATCAAACAGAACTCCAACAAAAGAAAAACTTCACTGCCTTCAAAAGGAGTGGAATGCTGTATTTACACATTAACAGCAGTGAATACCATGCACTTGGACAACCTGAGTATCGCTCTGCTTCACTGTGGTTAAAATTCACTCCAGTGTACAGAGTCAAGTACCCTTCCTCTGAGGACGCAGTTCAGGCCAACCTATTCAACATTCCTATTACACGTGATGAACTGAAATGAGCCCAAGTTCTTTTTCAAAGTTCACTAACACTGAATTCAGAGTTTCAGGTAAAGACACGTCCTTTTAAAATGCAGAAGGAGTTATAGTTGAGCTAAAGACACCTAACTTCCACTCTCTGCCCTACGATAGGTCAGTGGCCACTGAGAGCCTTGAGCAGACTTTCTGATGTATTGCATTACTGTAGAATGTGGAACTAGTGGATCCTCCCGCGTCCCTCATTATTACACAGAATTGCAGTAGCCAATCCTGCCTAAGTTCAGTAGAGTAACTAGTTAGCTTGTTTGTCTTCTCTACTTCTCTAGAAAGACTGGACCACAACTGCAAAACTGTACAATTAATATAACCCCATTATAACCAAATTCATTTAGTTATTATTTGCTGTTTGCTTAGAATTTCTGGATTCACACTGGATCCCAATACCATATCCATAAGTGGGAAAAATACATAAATAAAATCACCTAAAAATGGTAATTTAAATTTTACTTCAAATTAAAATAAAACACTTATGATGGAAAAAGACTGTCAGAAAAGTAACAGAGATAAAGAATAACATTCTTTGTACTTCATCTTTACGGGTCTGGGAAAAAGCCACAACATCTGGTGAAATACCAGGAAAATAAACATCATAATAGTTAATTAATAAAAAGTTATTTATATAAATGTTAAGAAATCTACTACAGTCTTGTAGACACACCATCAGTAGTTGCTAGCTGAAACGCAAGGTCCAAGCCTCCTCTTATTCTGAAGAGTATGTCCATAGCTTCTAGAATGACCTAAGGAGAAAAAAGAAGCAATGAAAATGAACAGCTATTTCAACATGCCTCCTCTCAAGTTACAGCTGACTGTTACTATACCAGAGTGTGTGAACACACCAGTAATTACTGCAGCTGGTCAGCGTGTGAAAGGCCAGTCAACAAACAGGGAAGGGAGTGGCACAGCAGCACATATTTGCCAGAGCCAGTACCTCAGTTATGTGAGTATTGCTACAAACACAGTCCTTAAAACGTATTTCCTACCTAAACAAGAAACTCTGAATTCTATACTTTAATAATTTAGAAATATGTCATTGTTTCAATTCAGATGTCATGTTTCCCATTCTCTGAGTCTTCTTCCAGTTCAAGCAAACCAGGGACTGCTCTGAGCATTAGAGGAGAAAGGTAGCTGAGAACATCTGTAAGTGTACATTCATCTTAGTAAGGAAATCAAAAAAATAAAAGAGGACACACACACACCCCTCCCCAGAACCCAAGCTAAGTTTCACATCTGACACAAGAGCTGCTGATGCGAGGAAACCATCCAGCTGTTTCTTTCCCCTTCCAAAGTCCCTGCTCTGTGTCCCCACAACTGTCCCTAGCAGACATTTTAACATGAACTTTGCCAGAGAACTCCTTCAGATGGAAATCCACCCTTCTATCCAGAGAAGACTTTTTCACCCAGATCAATTCAGGTCAAGTTCAACATCCTGCTACAATAACCAGCTGTGCCAGTAGAGAAGATCAAAAGGCAACAATCCAGAGAAGTGTGGGTATTGTTCAATCTAACAGTCCGCAAAAAGAAATGTTTGCTCTAAAAAGGCCATTGAACGCCTCTAAGAACAATTACACCGAGATCTTCTGGGAAGACTTACTGCGTAACTATTTGCTTTCAAACCATGGGAAGCTTCCAGATGTGATGCTACATTATTCACCAAATAAAAAAATCAAAGCAAACGGCTAATTTCCTTCTCATTCAAAGTATTCTAAGCAGAAATATTTACAAAGATAAGCATGCTGGACAAAAACATAAGCATCTTCACTTTGAGCTCTGGGTGAAGGGTTTTCAGGTTTCCCTGATTCTGGAGTACGAAAATTTACTCCAAGCAACAGAAAAGGCAAGATTGCCATGTTCTATGTTTTGCCTCCTGAAGCATAACCCTGAACTATTTCAGGTAATACAGTTCCTACATTTAAAAGGTCTCGGACTGTGGGAACCACAAGTGCCAGCATGTGAAAAAAAGGTCTGACTGGGTTGATGTGGGAAATGGTTTGTATCTGAATTATTACAACTGAATGAAAAGCCGAGTTCTGCAGGAGTGAGAGGGGCCATGACCCTTTGATAGCGGAACACCATGGATGATGGTGTCTTCCGACAGGCCCTCGACTGACGCCACGCAGGCAGAGACCCCCGAGGCCCCGCGGGCGATGGGCAAAGGCTGCTGCGGGGAGCGGCGGGTGGAATGAAGGGAGCAGCCCGCCTGACGCACCCTGGGCCCTGAGCACCCCGACCTGCCCGACGGG